TTCAAACCCACCAACCTCTCCTTAGAAGCCCTATACAGGGTGGCTACAAGTCAGAACTGACTTAACAACATTAACAACAACTTCTCCGTTTTTGGAAGTCTTGGTGTGGTGCTGTGGGTTAATGTGCTGCACTGCAAAGTGGCTTTGAATCACAAGGTCAGCGGTTCAAGCTCACCAGCTGCTCCTCAGAAATCAGGGTTGCTATGGATCGGAACTGACTCAACGGCACTTAACAACCACATGGTACAATAGGATAAGCACTAGACTGCTAACCACAAGTTCAGTGGTTTGAGCCTGCCATTTACACTGAGGAAAAAGACAAGGCTTTCTGAAAGCTTCTTAAAGATTTATAGCCTTGGAAACTTTATACAGGGTAGCTATGAGTTGTAACTGACTCAACAGCACTGAACAAGAAGAAACTCTTTTTTTATTTCCTGGAAGAGATTGTAAAGAATAATAATTACTCTTTAATGGTGTGGCGCTGCAGGTTAAGGCACTGGACTGTAAGATCAGTTTGAACTGTAAGGTCAGTGGTACAAGCTCACAAGCCGCTCCTTGGAAACCCTATACAGAGTTGCTAAGAGTTGGAATGGTATTTAACAAAACAACAACTCTTTAAATAATGTAGATGATTTTTTCCAGTTTGGGTCTGAAGTTTTGTTGTTGTTGTTGTTAAGTGCCACTGAGTTGGTTCCGACTCATATCAACCATGTATGGAGTGTTTCCAGGGAATAGCTGGTGGGTTTGAACTGCCAAGCTTATGGCTTGCAGTACAGTGCTGATCCAGCTTTTAAATTATAATAAACTAAATTTCCTTGATGTTCTTGTTGTTAAGTGTCATTGAGTCGGTTCCAACTTATTAGTGACCCTGTGTAGGGTTTCTGAGGAGTACCTGGTGGACTTGAGATGCCAACTAGAAATTAGCAATCTAGTACTTATCCTACAGCACCACACCAAGTCTCCAAATCCACTGCCATCAAGTCGATTCCAACTCATAGCAAGCCTAAAGGACTTCCAGGCTGTCATCTTTACAGAAGCAAACTCTCCCACTGTGCCACCAGGATCCACTTCGTAAGCTAACCTCGCACCTAAAGAAGCCAGAAAAGAAAGAACAAAATAAAGCCACAGAAAGCAAAAAGAAGGAGTAAAGAGGATAAATCAATAACACTGAAGAGAGAAAACTCAGTGAAATTAAAAGCTTGTTAGTTGTTTGAAAGATCAATGAAATTGACAAATTTCTAACAAGACTACCAAGAAAAAGAAAAAACACAAATCTCCACTATGTAAAATTAAACACAGTATTCACCACAGTCTCTACAGATATGAAAAGGATGGCAAGAGAATTCTGGTGTAGCACCGTAGGATAAGCACTGGACTGCTAACTGCAAGGTTGGCATTTCAAACTCCCAGCTGCTCCTTGGACACCCTACACAGGTTCACTATGGGTCAGAACCAACTTGGTAGAACACAACAACAACAATAATGAATAACACATAAATTTGACAACTTAGGCCCATTTCTTCTAAGCTGTCAAATTTTTTTGTGTAGTTATTCACAGATCACATGATTGTCTTTGTATAAAATCTTAAGAAATATTAAAAAAGAAAAAAAAAATTCTTTTCAGAGTAAATAAGTTAAACAAAGTTACACAGTACCAGGTTAATATACAAAAAACTCACTGTATTCTTATATTCTAGCAATGAACAATCAGAAATTAATATTTTTAAAATATATTTATAAAAATACCAGAAACATGAAATATTTAGGGATATATCTGATAAAAGATGTATAAGACATGTACTTTGAAAGCGATTGTAACACTGTTGAGAAAAATGAAAGATGATCTAAGTAAATGCAGAGATAGACCTTCTTTGTGAGTTTAGAAGACAGTACAACAACACAATCCAAATCTAAATTCCTAGAACTTTTCCATAGAAACTGATTCTAAAATTCACTTGGAAACACAACAAGAGTGAGTAAAACAACTTAGGAAAAAAAAAACAAAGTTGGAAATTTACCCAATTTTAAAACTTGTTAGTAATCAACACATTGTGGTATGGTATCAAGACAGACAGATCAACAGACTAGAAGATCCACCAGAATTAGATCTTATATACAGGAGTCCGGATGTGGCACTACAGGAAAAGCAATGAGCTGTTAACCACAAAGTTGGCAGTTCAAACCCACCTGCTGCTCCTTGGAAACCCTTAACAGGGTTGCTATGACTTAACGGTGCCACCAACAACATATATATGAGCAGTTGAGTTTTCACAGAGGCACAAAGGTCCAACACAATTCAATACAGAGAAGACTTTTCAACAAATGACTATTTAATTTCCAATATAAGTACATTATCAATATGCAAAAACTGAACTCAGACCTATTCTTCACCACAAACAAAAACTGTGGGCCCTGAACCTCAATGTAAAGCAGAAGAAGTAAAAATTCTAGAATACAGGAGAAATCTGTGTGACCTTTGAAACTGAAAATTTCGTAAGTTGATGAAAAGAAAATGTCACAACTTGGAATTTCTCCAAACCAAGAGTGTGAACTCTTAAAAAGGCACAGTAAGGACAGTAAGCAACAAGCCACAGACTAAGAAAATATTTGCATATCACAAAAGACTTTTAATCAGAATAAAGAACTCTCAAAACTCAGCAATTTTAAAATGAGCACGTAAATAAACCTATGTAATAAAATGGCAATACAAATTAAAACAACAGTAAGATACTGCTACACTATGTACCTATTGTTGCCGTTTGGTTCTGACTCAAAGCAACCCAGGATAGGGTTTTCAAGGCTATAAATCTTCACAGAAGCAGAAAGCTCCAGCTTTATCCTGCAATATACCTATTGTTGTTGTTGTTTAGTGCTGTCAAGTCAGTTCCGACCCATAGTGACCCTGCATAGGGTTTCCGAGGAGCAGCTGGTGAGCTTGAACCACCAACCTTGCAGTTCAAATGACTTTGCGGTCTGGCGCATTAACCCATAGCACCACACCAGGATGGCTATAATTTGAAAAGATAGACCATACCGAGACGTGAAGCAGTGGAAACTTTCATTCATTACTGGTGTGAAAGTAAAACGCTTCGATCCCTTTGGAAACCAGTTCGGAAGTTGCTTAAAAAGTTAAGCATATACATACCATGGGGCCAAGCCCATCCATTCCTACATATCTATCCAAGAGAAATGAAGACATATGTCCTTCCAAACACTTGTTTACAACTCGAGTGTCTATTACCAGGTGAATGGTGAATGGAGAAACACACTGTGGTATACCCAGGCAATGGAATACACTCAGCAAAAAAGAAAAAAAAACACCTAATGACACATGCAAAACATGTTGAGTGAAAGATACCAGAAAACCAAAGAACATACTCTGTATGGTTCCACATTCTAAAAAATGCAAGCCACTTTCAAGTGACAGAAAGTAATTGGTGGTTGCCTGTCAATGAGGGAATGTCTGGCACAGAGAGTGGGAAGGCATGACTTCAAAGGGGCATAAGGAAACTTTTCTGGGGAATGGAAACACTCATGATCTTAATCATGGTGATAGTTTCAAGGATGGATTGTTGTTATTGTTAAGTGCCGTCAAGTCAATGCCAATCTATAGCGACACTGTAACAGGGTTTCTGAGGAGCGGCTGGTGAGCATGAACTACCAACACTGTAGTTCAAACCAACTTTGCAGTCCTGGGCATTAACCACATCAGGACTCCTCAAAGATGGATAAATATGTCAAAATGTATCAAACTATATTTCAAATATATGCAGTTGTTTTGGTATGTCAATCATCTCAATAAAGCTGGGAAAAGAGAGCGTGAAATAAAAACTACCAATAGCATCAAAGATAGGCACCTAATTCTGGACACCGGCAGCTTCTGACTTTTCTGTCTTGGTCCTCTCTCGCTGTCCCAGGCACCAGAGCTGGGTGTTCATCCACACCCTACTTTCATTAAGCGAAAAAGTGAAAGGAACGCTGTCTGTGGGGAAGAATTATGGACTTAAGAAGAAATCGGGGAGCAAACAGAATGTTCACTCTGCAATTTAAACCCTCTTGGCATAAGAAACACCTCTCAGTGCTGAGATTACAAGTGATTTTCCTTTCATTAAAATTGTTTGCACTTTCTGAAGTCTTTATAAGCACTGCTTTGCTCATTGGAGGAAAAATAACACCCAACAACAACAAAAAGTTTGAAAAGAATCAGTTTAAATTCATCATAAATAAAGAACTTTTCAAAAAGATACCAAGGGTTTTTGTTTTTTCCCCCACTCTACCAATTCATGAACACCACCAGAATACACATACACATCTCAGCACTAATTTAGATCGAGAGACAAGGAGATTTCATTTGGAAAGGTGAAAAAGATTTACAATATAGAAAGAAGGTTAAAACCTCAAAACACTGCATGTTCCAAATTCTGAATTCCATGAGTCAACCACTAAGTTGGCTTTCGCCTCATTAGAGACATTATGATCTGTTGCAACTGATGTCCTGCCTTTTACATTAAAAAGAGTGACTTCTCACACACTCAGTTATGAAAGAAAGTCTTGCCCAGGTTTCCAGGAGGATGGAAACAGCAGTGGAGGAGATCCTCTCCTCTGGCGTTTATAGGCCTGTAAATGAATGAAGCCTTACATACAGGATCAATGCTAAGAGTGCCAGGGGTTCTTGGCCCTGCTCTGTCCAATCTGTTGGGGTCAGACATCTGTATCATAGGTTTTAGCACATGCAGAAAACCAGCAGCAATTCAGAAATCTCAAATGATTATCAAGTGTTTCTTTTTAACTCACTTCACACATCAAATTGGGCACAAAATGCTTCATACGCTACTTGGACACAAATTCTAAGAGTTCCTCTTTGTTACTACAAGAATACAAACCACCTCCAAAGTGATCATAGGATTCTTGGCTCAATTCTTCCTTTGCATTTAGAGAAAAAAGTGAAAGTTGGTTAGCATACCACACAACTACACACTTAGAACAGCGCGGCTACTTACATGTCTTGGAGTGTTCATGAGACAGCATGTAATTGGCGAGAGGCGGCGTGTAAGTTAAACACTGCAATGCTGCGTTGGCAAAACAGGTATTGCCCAGATTCTGGAGCCCAGCTCCAACTCTATGAGTCTGTTGCCACTTCAGACAAATCTTCTCAGATGGGAAGAGAACTTTCTGTGGGGGAGCAATGCCATCACCTAGGACTAGAAAACCAAACAAACATGAACCTAAGTAATTAAAAACAAAACTTGGCAAGCTCCTAAGCTACATACATAAACAGCAACACGTAAACCCGAATCTGATCAAGAATCTAAATCTCATTACCAGCTTACCGGAAATATGAGGGGGCTTCACAAAATTGGTGGGCAAACTGGAGTCGGAAGACAATGGAATTCTTCTACCAACTTTTGAAGCCCCCATCGTACATGGGAAAAAAGGAAAATGTAAATAAGAGAATATGGGAAACACTACATGATATTCTTTCTTTCATCAATAAACTGCAAGAACAAAAAATGATGGGGGTTCAGTGACTAACAGCAATTGAAGACAAATCCACCTACTAAGAAGTGTAGAACCTGTGTGGCCTTTGACTTGAACCAACTGTCAAAACAATTCTGACAACACTGACCAGATTCTTATATGAAGACACTTTTAAAAAGCAAACTTTTTTTCCCAGCTATACATACTAAATTATTTAAAGGTGACATATGAAGTCTTGGATTTGCTTTAAAATACCTGGGGGTGGGGTGATAAATGGGTGAAAGTACAGATGAAACAAGACTGGCCATGAATGGATGCATGTCAGAGTTTGCTGCTGGGTACATGAGAATTCACAACAGTTAGTACCTCTCCTTGTATGTCTAAGAGCCCTCATGGCACTGTCAATTAAGGCTGTACTGCTAACTGCAAGGTTCAAACCCACCAGTCACTCCGAGGGAGAAAGATGAAGCTATCTGTTCCTATAAAGACTTAAGAGTCTCAGAAACCCTTTGGAATAGCTCTACTCTGCCCCACTGGCTTGTTTTGAGTTGGAATCAACTCCGTAGCATTGGGTTTTGTTTTTTTCTTTTATATTTATTTAAATTTCTCATTGTAAAAAGTTAAAAAACACAACACACACTGTCATTATAAACTACAGGATAAGTCACTTCCCTGTAACAGTTGCTACAGATGCCCATGTTCAGTACCCTCACCCTCACCGTTATTCTTGCCCCAGCTCACTTGTTGATCCCTTATTAACCAGACAGTCTCAATGCTAAGAGAACTAATTAACACTATATCGTCACCCTCATGCTACCAGTAAGGAAACAGGATTTGAACTCACGATGCGAGGCAACACAGGCCATATTTTATAAGTATGCTATCCTCACCTTTATAAGGTTTTTCTCTCTTTTTATGAATTATAAAGTTTCCTAATGACTAAGCATGGTACTAGGGGTCCTGGTGTGGCACTGCAATATAATGTACTGGATCGCAAGGTCCATTTGAACCAGAACAACGGTTCAAACTTACCAGCCGCTCCTCGGAAACTGTTTTCAAGGTCACTAAGGAGCTCTGGTAGCGTAGTGGTTATGAATCGGGCTGCGAACCTCAAGGTCAGCAGTTCGAAACTACCAGCTGTTGTTCCACAGGAGAAAGATGAGTCTTTCTGCTCCCGTAAAGATTTACAATCTCGGATACCCTGTACAGGGTCGCTATGAGTCAGAAACGACTCCACGGCACATAATAAGGAGCTCTGGTAGCATAGTGGTCACAAGTTGAGCTGCTAACTTCAAGGTCAGGCATTCCACAGAAGAAAGATGAGGCTTTCTGCTCCTGTAAAGATTTACAGTCTTGGAAACCCTACAGGGTCGCTATGAGTCAGAACTGACTTGACAGCACTTAACAAGAAGCAGGTTACTAAAACTCCAGTGCTGCTTACGGAGCTACTTCCTACAGGACTAACTTTTCACAAGCTTGCCAGGTCCCTGGAGCTACTACACAGTAAAGACTCACAGCCCCTCGTTTTCTATCTAACAGAGGTGCTCATGAGACTCTAAGGATCCAAAAGTAGGTGGCGGCACAGTGGGGAGTGGAAAGCAGTATCAGATAGTGAGAAACAGATCCAAAGCTAGAAAGGGAGAGAAGCGGGCAGATGTGAGCAAAGTCCCAAAGGAGAGAGGGAGGAGCCCAAGCAACAGGAGGCTGGTGTTTGCTGAGAAAGATGCCCTGGGGGAAATTCCTGGTGGTGAAGGAGCCAAAGGGCTTTAAACCTCTATGTGTACCATTCAATTAAGTTGTTTGTGTTTGATGATATAAATTCTTCCCTCCACTTAATCTCCAAATCACAACATCACACTTAGTACAGGTGGTGGTGGTGTGCACAGGGTTTCCGAGGCTGTCAATCTTCGGGGAAGCAGAAAGTCTCAACTTTCTCCCATGGAACTGCTGGTAGTTTCCAACTACTGTCCTTGAGGTTAGCAGCCTGTAACCACTACACTACCAGAGCCCTTTAAAACAATGTTGTTGTTAAGTGCCATTAAGTGCAGACTCAAAGTGACCCTGCACAGGGTTTTCAAGGAACAGCTGGTGGGTTTGAACTGCCAACCTTGGAGTTCTCAGTCCAGTGCTAATCCTATAGTGCCACACCAGGAGGCCCATTAAATAATGTGTTTGAATTGTTCTAAGCCAAACAACTTTCCTAACTCACTGCCATCAAGTGGATTCTGACTCAAAGGGATGCTTTATAGGGTTTCCAAGACTGTAAATCTTGACAGACGCAGACCACCTCGTCTTTCTCCTGCAGACTGCCAACTTTGCAATTCATAGTCTAACCCTAACCCACAGCACCATCGAGGCTCCTTAAACACTTTACTTGTTGCTTCTGTTGTTAGTGGTGTCAAGTCCATTCAGACTGATAGTGACCCTATATAGTGTTTCCAAGGAGTGGCTGGTGGGTTTAAACTACCCACCTTGCAGTTCAATTTGACCCTCTGGAGCAGTGCTTACCCTACAGTGCCACACCAGGACTCCTAATAGAAGTGAATTCTCTTATATGTGCCTTTGCTGTTTCAAAAAGATTCCAAATCCAAAATTTTAAGCATAAACTAAAAAGGCCAATGCTTTATTTATATGAGTTAAGTTTTAAAAAGAGAGCTATAAAAAAGTTCATGAGAAAATTCCATTCTATTTTTAACTCTATTAAAAAGAAGCCCCTTGTATTGTTTGAATGCTCATTACAGCATTTACTCCTCACTTACCAACGATCTTTTGCATTTATGACCAATTTACCAATTATCTTTTGCATTTATGATCAATATAAAAAAAATTCTCAGGTTGTACTTCCAATGGTCTTGGTCCACTCAAGGCTGAGGTCAGGCCCAGAGCACCCTCCAAGGGCCACAAAGAATGATGTATCGGAGGCCCCAGAAATGAATGACCACATGAGAGATGACAATCAAACAGTGTGGGCACCTTCTCCCATTTGCCCAAGAAATCAAGTGGTGACAAAGAATGAGTGGGCAGATGGAGGCCAGGCAAGGGCCTAGAGGTGCCAGGAGGAAGTTGGTGGGAAGAGATGGGAAGGAGGGAGGGAGAAGGGGGTCCATACCCTGGGTAGACAGTGGGAAGCAGCTTGCAGAGGACAACACCTGACCACCACCCCTAGCACCCCCAGGCCCCCCAGGCTCCACAGCAGTGGGAAAGGAGTGGTAGGGAAGTTGTGCCTATTGTACCATGTGCATCCTGAGACCCACAGGGGTTACCTAACAGGCAGTGAGCTACCAGGTGGGGAGGTGTGGCTAAAACAGGATAGCTCCTCACTCTCCCATACACAGATTTCATACGATGACCTGATCCTTGGATAAGTCGTTAAGTGAGGAGCATAAAAATGCAATATATTATCTGCTTGCTTTCAAAGAGAAAATTTTACTACAGATGACTTTAACTGGCCAAAAAAAAAAAAAAAAAAGTTGGATTGAGCCATTTGCCAAAACATCTTTAAATGCTTAAGACAGACATTTAGGGAACCATAATAATTACAAGGTAACTGACAAGTTATCAACATGCTTACTCATCTCAATTCTTACCAAGAAAAAACTGACCCTTCAAAAACTCAAGAAGAGACTCACAGCAAACATCTTAGTAACTAATAATGTACCTCCCTCTGGTGATACACACGTTAACCTGTGCAAGCAGCTGAGGAAAATGAAGCCTGTCAAATAATGTAACTCTGCTGGTCACTTAATTGGCAATATATTTTGCAAATTAAGCCCCCCTTTATAACTATCAGCCCACAGACAGCATTCATCCAGGTGTTTCTGGACACAACTCTCTTGTTAAAATAGTACCTTGATCCTTTTGTGGTGATGGCTTTGATTTATCAGGTACAGATGAACTCGAATAAACGACAGCACCAGGTACTGGTCCTAAAGAAAGCGTGTGATTTGAGACATCATTTAATGAAGACACAGCACCCCAGCTGGCAGAGCTGGCATCCATGTCTCCAGGTGAGACGGCTTCAGAACTGCCAGGCTGATTCTGATCCGTTGATTGGTCTGAAGAGTCAGAAGCTTTGTCAACTATGGTCATTGTTCAACTCTGCAAAAGATGAAAGGCAGACAATGGTTTTATAAGATGAGATAAGTAACTATCTGTTATACTATGAGGTCCAGGAAAATTATTGGAGCCATTCCTAATCATTTTCAAACACATCACTGAAATAAAAAAGCAATCACATTTTCTAACAGTTTTGCAATGATATCTTTGGGACATTTAGCATGATGCTAACCTGAACCTGTCAGCAACTTTCATTTTAAAAATTTCAATGAAGTACTTGATTAAAAGAGATCCTCGTTTTTGTTTCTCTTCCACTTACCCTAAAAGTACGATATTTCAGATTTCCAATTCCATATGTTTACCAAAAGACACTACTTTGTTCTCTCTCTCTCTCATACTCAATCAGAACACTAAATGCATTAAAGTTTGACTGAACTTTCTATCTGAATATGATTCCTCAAAGAAAATCTCAACTACACGAAGAAAAAAAACTAACTTTATTTTTGAATTTGAAAGTCCAAAATGACATTGTTTGACAGGCATTACATTTTTAAATACTGCATTTCTAGAAAGTCTCACCTTTAAAACAAACACATATAGAGGAGTATTTATATGGTATGTATAACATTGTAAATGAAATTCATACAAATTACCTATAAGAAACTTGAGCACAAACACATGTTTAACAAGTATTTGTTAACAATTTTCTCAATGAATGAGCATGTTCTATGTGTTGGCCACTGTGTTAATCACTATATATACTTAACTTGCTTAATTTTCATAATGAAACTATGAGAGATCAGATAGGATCCACAAGAACACATATACATATATCTACAATGCCCACACCCAACCCACTGCCTAAGAGTCCATTACAACTCACAGCGATGCTACAGGGTTTCTGAGGCTGTGTATCTCTACTGCAGAGCAGACAGTCTCATCATTCTTCCCTGGTGTGGATAGTGGGTTTGAACTGCCGACCCTGTGGTTAGCAGTCCAGTGCTTATCCTACAGTGCCACCAAAACTCCTACACACATGCACGGTGGTAGTGGTGATGGTGTGCCACCTAGTCGGTTGTGAATGATAGCAGCCCCACTCATAACCACTACCAGGGCTCCTTACACACATGCATAGGGGCTATAGAATGAAGCAACTGTAACCCAGTTATGCTGAGGCCAGAGTTAGGTCCAACATTCCAGCCTGGGGCTCCTACTTAACAGAATGTTAACAGAATGTTTTCAGAATGTTCCTGAAGCTGTCCAATGGTAGCTAGTACTGAAAAATAGTATACCCACCCTAACCCAGCAGCTAAATCCTGATATGCCACCCCTTGGAGCACACTCTTCAGGGGTGCCCCTGGCTGCCTGATACCTAGTACCTCTCCATACACTCCCCAAGTTATACTCCCACCATACACAGCTCACTTCCAGTCTCTGCTCCCCTTTTTTCCCCTGCTCCCTTCTGTTCTTTCACCTCCTGCCAGGCCACACTTCCACTTCTCTGCTAAGCATTCCTTTCCTCCAGGAGTGTCCCTTCCCACCAAGATTGGGTTTCTAACCCCTGAGCTCCAGCAGCTGATTTCTAGGGTAGCATCTCAGCACTCTGCACAGTCCCCTCTACTTGTTAACTCTCCATCCTATCCTCATTCCTATCTCCTGGGCCTTTCACATGGGGAACAAATGAATGAACATACATTCTAGAGACTAGAAGTAACTAGTATTTGTTTTTTTTTTTTTCCTTTTAGCACCAGTTTCTGCTGTGGGATTAACATATAGTATCTCATTTAATCCTTTTTTTTTTTTAAAAAGCCCTGAAAGAGGGACTGCTTTGAAAGCTTTTTTTTTTTTTAAATAATTCTCTCCATAAAGTTCCCATGTACTTTCCATCTCAGCGAACACCTGCTATGATGCCCTATCATAATAAATAAGTTAAAAAAAAAAAAAAAAAAAACTTCATTTGTGTGGTTTATACTTTAAGGAAAGACTGTCGTGCAAAAAATAAATAAATACAACCATGAAAGACCAATTTGGGGATCTTATATGAAATAGATTACATCTTAGTAAACAAGGCAACCTGAGTTGCAATTTTAGGTCCATCTCAGGTATGTGAGCCTCATTCATGGAGAAAACTTGCACCATTATATCTAAATGAAGTTTATATTTTCCTCATTTCACAGTTAAAATGAATTATGAAACTCTGTGGAGGCATGAGAAAACAAAGAGGAAGGGGAGGAAGTGAAGGAGGGAAAAAAGAAAAAAGATGAAAGCCAAAATAAAACAATCAAAAAGCTTAACAAGCCTTATCTGCAGACATGCTAAATAGCAACAAAACCCTTTATTTTCCCAAGGAGAAACATCACTCAGGATAAGCATTTACAAATGGTCAAATAAGCCCATTTTACTCTCTGCAAGAGGGGGAAAAAAAAAAAACTTAATGGGAAAAAAAGAACAACAAAAAAAAAACATACATTACTTAAGTATAAGAACTGCACTGCTAACCACAAGGTTGACAGTTCAAACCCACCAGCCTCTCCGTAGAAACCCTATACAGGGTGCTAAATCAGAACAAATGTATGGAGTCCTGGCACAGAGCTATAGAATAATCAATGGAATTCTAAACACAAGGTGGGTAGTTCAAACCCACCAGCTGCTCATTGGAAATCCTCTACAGGGCCACTATGAGTTGGAATACCCTCAGTGGCAGTTTAACAAAAACAGAAACGTACAGCATTATAATCTTGGGATGAAGATGGACAAAAATTATACATTCTTCACTTCATATATTCAGCCAATAAATTCTTAACCTAAAACCCTCACGGACCAGACTAAACTCTATCTGCCACAGAAAGCCAAACACAGTTGTGTAGAAATTAGAACTATAGATTACATGTTCTTTGCTCAGTAAAGCAAACCTTACTGTCATAAATATCAAGTCTTTTATGCAACTACTTCAAAGAAAACTTAAAATTGCAACATCTGATGAGAGCCTTACAAAAAATTACAATAACATGTTTCTAAAACGCACCACACGGATGTGTGCAAAAGAATAAAGCAAATCAACTTTACAAGTATCTCCTTTGCTTTAAGAACAATCTTTTATTCAAGAGTTAAGTCCCAGCTTTTTTGTATTTAACCTTTGTAGTAATAATCAAATGCTAGAACGCACTGTTCTTTTTCATGAATAAATAAATACATTACTGTTTAAACATTTGGAGCGCGGTGGCTCCATTGGATAAGCACTGGACTCCGAACCACAAGATCGGCTGTTCGACTCCACCAGCCACTCGCGGCAGAAAGATAGGCCTTTCTGTTCCCGCAAAAGATTGAAAAACTCTGAAATCCTATACAAGGTCGCTATGAGTGGAAACTGACTCCGTGGCACTCGACAATAAACAGTGACACACGCCACGAGCACAGGGGTAACAATATCACATGCAAAAAGAAACTGTTACACTTCACCCGCCTATAAACAATGTAACCCACGTTCTGGTAGCACACAGACCACAGACATACACGTGCGCTTTAAAAAGTCACTACTTTGATATTCCTCATAGTTAAGTAGATAATCCAATTAACCTTACACCTTTACAAACCAAATAACTGGAGAACTGATGCAAGGAAATAGAAAAGAAAATGAAACTAACAGTACAAACAAATAAGTGAAACTGATTATTCATATTCCCTTTGAACTTTGAATGAATAATTCAGTTAAATAAGGACTACAATTATGTTTACACATTTACAACTCTTAAAAAAAAAATCACGACTCGACAAAAATGTCTAAGAACCTATAATACTGTTTCTACCTTGGGAGGGGGAGGTGCTAACTAGTTTTTCGGTCACTATTATTTAAAATGGCCAACATGTTTTCTCATAACCAAGACCTCCTGGATATCAAAGAACTAGCCACCAAAAAAGAAAAAAATCTCAAATGCCTTCCTTATACCGAGTTTCAAGTCCTCGATGATAAAACTTCTGGCCCGTCCAAAATCTCCTTTCAAACATCTGAGACGGAAGACGCCCCCCACTGTCCGGGTCCCGCCGGCTCCTCAGGCCCCAAGAGAAAGAGCCTGACGGCGGCACACATGCTTCGGGGTTGCCCCGCCCGGGCCTCCCGCTGCCACCCTCGGGTGCCCGTACCGCCGGCCGCCGGCGTGGGCTCGGCGCTCCATCTACGGAGCCGCCAGGTGCACGCGCCGGCCAGGGTGCCGGGGTGGGAAAGTTTGCCTCTTCGGGGGACGCAGTGGGGGCGGGGAGGCAGCCTGCAGCTCCGAGGGGCGCCCGGGGCGCGAGGGTGGCACCACGCGGGGGGCGGCGGGCTCCCGGGTCGGCGGCGGCACACGCCCACCCCGCCAAGACCCCGACCCGACCCGACCCGACTCGCCGACAGTCCGGCCCGGCCCAGCCTACGGGACGAGGGGGCGGGCTTGGGCCGGGTGGGGGTGGGAAAGCAGTGTCCATGGCAACCAGGGGGGTCCGGCCTCCCCGCGCAGCCCCGCT